TGAGCTTATGCCATACATAAGTAGAATAAAATTAGTATTCTTAGAATCAAAACATTTATATAGAGACATGCAACCAAGGTTTTAAGTCAATTAGTGAATAGTGAGATTCGATGGTAGACTCATGTCATCGCCAACCAATTGACCACTATGAGCACTACCACATGTTGCAAAAAAATATTAAGCTATATTGACATCACACAGTACAAGAGCAAACAAAGTAATTGCTAAATTCAATTGTAATCGTTCTAATTACTTAAGCAAATAAAATTCTTGTATTCCAAGTAATATAAGGCTGTGACAAAAGTCCTTTAACTTTGTGCCTATCTAAAAATGCCTCAGGTAAGATTTCCTTGTTCGTGAGCTCATAATTTTAAATGATACAACAAATATAGTACTGAATTTAGCGACTAAACGACAATCAAACCAGTATAAGCAATGAAAATAACAACAAACTAGCAGAGAGCTGAAAAAAATTTAGTTCCAAAGCTGGTCACATGACAGGACATTTACATACACTGTTAAGACATATACATACAGGGGTTACACGTACCGCACTTGGTTTGCAGGAAACATCTCAAATTAAATCCGCGCGTAGAACACGAAAAAGGACATGCCGCAAGCCGTAATACGACTAAGCTGGATAATATGCTGAAGAAAAGGAAATCACACAAATATGTTTGTATATCCCTAAAGAAAATGTATGTAAATGTGTGCTACCTTACAACATAGCTTCTTACCTCCCCCAACCAATAGCAAGCGCCACTTTTATACCGTTACTTTTCTGTTACTCACCCACTCCCCTCGCCACTTTGGCCACTGGCTGCATAACGGCAATGATAATTTTAATGTTTATCGTCTTTTATTGTCAAACAAATTATTTTTGATATCCTGCTGCAGGATATTGATGTCGTCGCAGCTCAACAAAGCATGCCACCAATACACATACATATGCAAATCGTTGAATTTGAATGCTGAAGTTCGCAATAACAGTTACTGAGAATCACTTCAGCTGCTACCGGGCAACCGCAGCTTGAGGGCAAAAGCGAATCTTGCCCGAAAATCTACAGACCAGCGTGGGTTTATTTAAGGTAATTTGATTAAAGCAGTGCGGGTGGGATGGCCTTAATAAGAAAGCAGTGGTCCCCCTTCTCTGCTTTTTTTTTGACAATTTTTGCTTCGTTTCGCCTTTGCAGATGCATATCTTCAGGCGCATAAAGCTCATAAAATCTAAAGCAGGTGACTGCAGACGCACTTCATAACTGTACATGAAAGATTTGCGTATGTGTGTAAGTCAGACTAGCAGTCAAAACAATTTAATGCATGAATAAGAAATAATTTCTTTCGAACAATATTTTTTTCTTTTGCCTTTTCTTCTAGTTGTAAATTTTAGCGACGTAAATGCAAAGAATGCGAGAAAGCGCTTTTTTATTCTTTGCTATATTACTTTTTTTCAAACGTTCTTGGCGACATAAGCATTCACGCACATTGATTTAAGGCAATCGGTATTTGCCTATACACCTATAGAACCATATAAAAAATTCAATACACACACATATATACTTGAGTGCATACTTAATTTATTACATTTTATGGTATTATTTTTACTCTTGCTAGCTAACCTCCCCTTCTGCAATGCGCGCTTATCTTCATTTGATCGGAAAACCATCTTCATCAGGAAAAGCTGATAAGCAGGAGAAGTATACACACAGGCGCATACAGCGCATCAATACACTTTTCATTTCATTAGCTTAATTTTGCGTGCTTTGCTATATCGAATTAGTTCTGTAGAGACACATCCACGCATATTTCTGTATAACTATATGCATCCACATATATTTATATACATATATATATATGTGTGTGTATTAAGGACAACAGCATATTAGCCAGATTATTTGCATAATTCTATTTTTGCCTGCCATCCAAAGCTGCTCATTTGAACTCATAAAAGTGCCTACACAAACTCATCTGCATACTATTTTATATTTACATGAACATATATATACACATACACACTCCCATAATTTGATTGCTGTAACTGATAACCATGTGGGCTTCATTAATTTTTCATTATTTGCGAAAAACATTAAAATTTGCATATGAATTAAAGCACAAAGCGAATATAGAAAAAAACACATTTTCCAAATGCACTGTATCCTATAGATGTGAGGCGAGTGCGTCCTTTTTTTGAAAGATGAAAGGTAAGTGATTATTTGCTTACCTTTTAGTAGTGTTTATTTATTCAGCCTTGCGCGTAGGATAACTGGAAGGAATAAAATTATAAGCTGATCTGTTATTTATTATGTTTAATCAAAGACATAATGTATTTATGATCAATAAACGAATAAGGGACAGTTGAAAATAAGCAAAATAAATAATATATTGGAAAGCATTAAAAATGAGATGGGGAAATGTGAAAACACACAAGTAAATTTACAAGGACAAAGTTACATTTTAAGTTTCATACCATAGGAAGGAGATCAAGCGTGCAAGATTCTGAAGAAATAAAAGTAGAAATATACTATAGGCAAGTAAGAAATTTCCAGATGTCCCCAAAGGTTTATTTAAAAACAAATAACTAATGAATTTGCTGCTGGGGTAAATTTCGAAACGATTGCTGATTGTTAGTTTCTTGTATCATATTAACTTACTTTATGGATACTTCATAAGAATATCTTGCAAAATACTCAATTTACGTACTTCGATGTCTATCTGTCAAATATTGGCTGGTGTAATCAATCGTCTTAATAATGTTGAGAGAAGATGAAACGAAAGTATGGACCAAAAACACACGTTTTTGTACTGCAAGAAACTAAGCGAAGTCCATGGCCAGCTTCATTTTATGGATGTGTTGTGGAAATCATTATTATTAACATACTTGACTAGACTAAAGGTCTAGTTAACCACTATCCAGTTTTCAAATTAATTCATTATTTTTTCAATATATGTCTTTGGTAAACGCTGCTAAATCGCAACCAAATGGATAAATTTCTGGGATAAATGGTTAGTGGTGATGAAAAGTGTACATTTACGTTAACTTCCAGCGGAAACGGTTCTGGTCACGATTGACGATCAGGAAAGTTTTGCTATGTGTTTGGATGAATTGGAAGGGAATCATCTACTATGAGCTGTTCCCCTATGACCAAACCTTTCAGATTCCGACTGATCAGACATTTGAGCTCCTCCTTAGAGTGAGACCTCTTAAATATACTCGTATATATTTTTCCACGAGTACTTTGAAAGTCTTGATTTCGCTTGTTTAGGTTAATCTATTGTAAGGCTTTTTACACGTATTATAAAGTCAGCTGCTAAGCTTCAAAGCACAATAATTGAAGAAATTTTTAAATAAAAAACCGAGATATTTTACTTGTAACTTAATATTTATTCAAAATATCATCACTTCTTATATATAGGTATAGTTCATAATAATTTTATTATTTACTTATATTGTATGTATGTATGTATATACTCCATTATTTATGTATAAATTATCGAAAATTCTATGTTGTCTATATTTGTAGTTAAGTGAAATTTCTACTTTATATTGTACTTTGTTCTGCTCGTTTAACAATCATTCCTTTGCATTTGTTTGCAAATATTATACAGTTACATATTAAGACTCTTTTAGTATTTATGTATTTTATGTAAAATAAATCACACACACATTTAGACATTTTCTACTTCGCAAAATAAATACAAAAATATACCGAAGTATTGTAGATTACTACTTCGCTGTTTGCCATAATATTTTTTTATAAAAAGCATTTTGTATATATAATATGAGTAGTTAAAAATTTAATAGCTGCTTTGCTTTAATATCCAGTTTTTTTAGAAATTAAGTTTTTTTTATTAATTTTTTGTTTGGTTTTCAAAATCGTGATATATAGAGTATAGGTTTTTGTATATATATATGTATATATATTAAAATTATTATATATGTAAAGTTTATATAAATAGACACCGAGAGTTTGTAAAAGATTGTTAAGTCTTATATAAATATAGTATATGTAAATATCGTTAGATTCCTTAAAGTTAATATTATTTTATTTCTGGTAAGAGATTTGGGAAGTTCTCAAGTTAAGACTATCAAGTGATTAAAGAAAAATAAAAAATAAAAGTAGTTTTAAAAATTTTTGTGTTAAAACTTTATTTTTGGAAAATAATACCTAAAATTAAAATAATTAATTACACAACTAACTGATAAGGCAGAAAATATTTAAAAAATTTAGTTTGGAAAACTTTTGTAAATATTTATTTTTTGTTATTTTATTTTGATTTGAAATAGAAAAATCCTTTTTTGTAGGTACTGATTAATTAAAAAAAAAATGCTTACATGATTTTTGAGTGCACTTCATAAATATATATATTTTTTTTTTTCAAAATGTAATGTAACAAAACTTTTTATTTTGCAAAAAAAAAACAAAAGAATATACGCGTATAGAGCATTAATTTATATAAATTTTTTCATCAAATGTCAATAATGTTCTTTCTTTGAAAAGTAGAAGGTTTTGCAAGTAAAACAGAACACTAGTTACACAAAATAAGTTAATCACTAAAAAAATTATGTTATTTTGTCAAAAATTTAGAAAAACTTTATAATAATTATTATTGTGTCGAAATGAAATTGTTTTCTTAAGATTATGAAATGAAAATGAATATTTGGTATTTGCCGTGGCTGAAAATACATTTTACCGAAATTTGATAATTTGCTACATTAAGATATCTTTCAATATAATTTTCAAAACGCACAATTTGATTGATTTTTGTAAAAAAATATGTGGTCTTTTCTAAACTTAGGTGGAACATATTATTCAAAAAAAGTATGGAATTTGTCCGAAAAAAACGAAATCCAAATTTCTTTCTAATAATGCTTTTTCTTAAAAATTGTATATTATTATATTATAATAGTTGAAATTAGAAAGAATAAAGAACAAAAATTTGAGATATTCGAAATTTTTTGAACAACTGTAATATTTTTTGGAAAATTTTGAAACTTTTGAAAAACGTTGCAATTTTTATTTTCAAATATGTATTAAACGCCCAATTAAAATTAAAAGAATTTTTGAAACACAAGAGTTTAATTTTCAATACTTTGTTTTTATTAAATTTCAGGTCATAAATAATCTTACTTATAAATAAACATACATAGTATCTTAAAAATTAGGTGTCAGTTCTTTTGGAATTATTGGCGCCAATTAAATGTCTAAAATTAATTTTTTTAACATAAGCCCAAGCTTTTATTAGCCTGTGGAAAATTTTTTGAGACTACACTGTGATAAATTAAATTAACTTTCAAAAATAAAAATTAAAAATATATTTTAGATTTCGAATATATTTGAAGTGTGAAAATTTTTTCTGTAAACCTCATCAAAAATTATGCTATTTCATAATTTAGTTACAAAAATCTATGCTAGCTTTATTTTAATTATTTTGCTTAGTTCTTAATTAAATCTAATGAAACTTTTCATTCTTAAAACATAAACGCTATCACAATTATGCTTATATCTCACAATTCATTGCAATAATTTGCTTTCTCATAAAATAGCTTCTGAGCTCCGCTAAATCAGCATTTTACCGACGGACATACAATATTATATAGTTTTTTCTCGGAATCCGTCAAATTTTCGGAGTTTCTCATAATCACAATTGCGCTTTTCCGGAGCTTTACCACACAGTACACTGGGCACATGAAATGCCTTTGACCCCTCGACCAGGAACGTAAAATTGTAGTAACTTCTTTTCGATTAGCAAATCTCTAATTGCCGGCAGCTGACGGTTGTTCTTGTGCACCACCAACAACACCACTGGGCGATATCTCGATGACAGCGGTGGTGAAAACGTCTGCGGAACCAGTTTGTTGGTAATATTGTTTTAAAGCTTTGCACATAGCCACAGCAAGCAGCTTCCAAGGTAGCGGCTCCAACGTGGAAGCGGCTGAAGACGGATGTGAAGTTTCGGAGGAACTGTTAGAATGCGAATTAGACGACAAGGAAGCGGCGGTGGCTGGATTTGTAGATGAAATCGAAAAAGTTGCTGTGGCTGCGGTAGTGCCAGGAATTAAATTCGAAGACGCGCTTGAACTGGCATTTACAGAATTTGGAAGTGTTGCCGAAGCAGTTGTGAACGCACTGGAAAAAGCCGTTGGTGTAGCAGTGGCTACTAATATAGGCGCTGCTGTACTTCCGCTAGTCGACGCTTGATTTGTGGGCATTGGCGCACTAAGATTTGCCGTCGGCAATGGCACGGACTGACTGCTCGGTGCTGGCGGAAAATGTCCGTCAATTTGATCACACTCAGTTGAGGGCTGCTGCCGTGGCTCGTAGAAAGGTATAGCCATGTTTCGTTTATAATATTTCTATTTCTCAAAAAAAAAGGTTCAACTATCGAAAAAGTTTGTCGTAAAAAATTTCGTATTTTCTGCGCTTCGTTTGAAAATTCACAAAATTATACACACACGCACTTCCTATTGACTTCGATTCAAGCGCTCGATGCGTCCACTCAGCAGCGTAACGCTTGTCGTACTGAAGTACCGCTAGTAAAGGCACGCGTATTTATACTCGAAAATTTACGTGAAATAATAATATTGTACTCGAGGTGCTATCAAGTTTACTCTATACGCGCTACTTGGTGTTAATAGTGATTCGCAGCAGTGTACACGCACGACTGTGGCATGTAGCGAACGTCATGTGCTCTGTAACCCACAAAAATTTCTACTCAAAAACCCAACTCGCATGTAATCAGTAAGCCAAGCAATACGAGCCAATAAAATAAATAGACAGTGTGACTGTCAGGCAATGCGACAGTTGGCATTCGGGGTGTGTGTTCATCAATTCACAAAACCACCACCACCAGCTCCCAATCTTATTACCAATTGTAATGCTCATACCACTTACTCATAAGTACTTTCAATATCCAACACTGCTGTTCACGCGACCGCCGCATCTTCTCTCCGCCGCTCTCATTTAAGTAGTTCGCTCAGCTCGCAAACTCACGTGTCATGCGGTGTTATCCCTGTGATACTTCCGTAGCCACAAATAAACTCACCCCAATGCGCCAATACCAACGCTGTCAGCAACACAAATACTATTACCACCATGACCATACCAACTACCACCGCCAATGGTACAAATCTTCTCCGGTATTGGCTCAACAACGGTTGCTCAATCTTTCAGCAGCTACTTATTTACCTTTCTACCTATGCCCATGAATCTGAATTGAGTGTAGTTTAACGTAAAAAGTATATTCGGCCTGAGCACGTTTTTGTGCAACACGTGCTGTCACTTTGAGAAAGTGATTTTGTTTTCGTTTTCTGCTCTCTTTTCATATATTCATGAAAAATACTCAGATATATTTTTTGAGCCCCTTTTATAATTCGAAATTGTGTAAAAGTATTTTATATGTCTCTCCAGCAATATTTTACCCCTCAATTTAAGTTGGGCACATGTTCGAATTTTCGAACATTCGAAGTTTTTTCGAAATTGGTACATTTCTCCTTCGCACATCAGTTGCATAGAATTTTTTTCCATTTTCCTCGAAATGTTAGACAATCAAATTTTCGAACATTATAATTTTTGTTCGAAATATGTGATTTTCTTCTTTGCAATAATACTACTACTGAACTTTAATTTGATATTGCTGCTCTCCATATATTTTGATATATTTTTTTCGAACGATAGTGACCCGTTTTCATGGCTTGCCTCTTTAATTTTCTAGTCAAATTTTTTAGTGGAAAATGAGAATTAAGTTTTTTCGAATTTTAGCACTTCATTATTCATCTTAATAAAGCTTTTCTACACCTTAGAAAAAAAGTTGGCTACCTGCGAGCTGATAAAAAGAAAAACAAACTACAAGTATGAATGAATAAGAAAATTTTTGAATAAAACTTATAATTTTTCGGTCCTAGCATTTTCAAAAAATTACGGCCCAAATGTTTTCAAAAAATCTTTCCACAAAAGTATATGCATATGTCGGAATCCCGCCATTTTTTATGATAAGACTTAAGTACTATAACTTTCTTCGAATGACATTAATTCGTTATTTTCTCCTCGTTATTCGTTTTTATTTTCGACTATATGTAAAAATCCTTGACCAGTTTCTCTGCTTTCTCCTTTAGTGTTCGAAAAAGAACCTGTAGCTTCACATTTTTTCCCACACTCTACTTGTTGATGGTACAAGTATATTGCAATGGAATGTGCTTGGAATTCATAAGCACATCCTTTGGGTTTTTTTTTGTACAACTAAATTGTAGCTTTCTTCTCTTGCTGGTATCCCAAATCCAGAATGTTTGCTTTTTACGGTATAAATTGAAGAAATTACTTATGTATAAAAAGATTTGATTTAGCTGCTTTGGGGGAGTTTCAAGGGCATATTAAGTGTTTTAGTATGTTGGAAGCTTTTGGAAATTATATTAAAGATAAGCGAATAAGAGATATGTTAGCTAGTTAAGTTTTAAGATTTTTAAAGAGTTTTATATTGTAAAAGTGTATGTGTGTAAGTGGTTTTGCATGCTACTCTTCTTAAAAGTAAATAGTTCTAGTTTAAGAATATTTTTAATACAAACTGAACTGATCGTCTCATTGAATTTTCAGTCATAAATGACTAGTTCGAGCAAAAATTGTAATCCACCTATTCCCAAGAGAATAATATTCAATTCAATAAGAAATTTGATACTCAGGACTGAACTATTGGTTCTTGATAGTGGACTAAGTAAGTTTTATAACTTTTGATATGAACATAACTCCTGCTATCATCACCTGACAGAAATAAAAAATGTTTCCAGTAAAAGGCAAAATTGAACGTTCATTGGTTCATACTACTTAACAATAGAAAAACTTCACTGAGCGCATATAGGTATATCGTTTATGTGAAAAACGGTTGATTGAACTGTTTCAGGATCAAAACCTGTTAGGGACGACTTACTGATTCAACGGGTTCAAGATCGAAATATATATCAAAACGAATTGTTCGAACAGGTTCAATATCGGAACTTTTCTTTTATATTATTACTTCAAAGAGAAAGCTTATACAAAAATTTTCACGATGAAGCTATATCTTATAACAAAAATCTTTTCAATTTCAAACTATTCCTTTATCTTGAACTTTACCTTTGAACTTGAACTTTTCTAAGTTATGTTATATTGCAAATTTAGAGACGCTGAACTCTGTTATGAGTCACAGAACGTCTAACCAACCATCAATTTATTTAGTTTTTTTATTATAATTTATTATTACCATGTTTTTGGTTTTTTTTTTTTGGAAGGAAATAAAGTTTACCACACCCTTCCACTTATTTTTCATGATCATTTAAATATAAGAGAAATAAATAAAATTTAAAATAGCAAAGCTAGTGCACTGACATTATATAATAGTAAAAGCAAGCTGAAAACTAAAAATTCAAAAAAATCTTTACGACGAAATCATTGATATTCGTGATAGTGGCAGAGTAAAGCGGTACTAAACATTTTTATAGTCAAATTTATGGTGAAACCATATGCGAAAATGCATGTGAATAAACAATATGGGAATCTACATGTAATAGATGTGTGTATATACACAGTACATCAGGGTTTATATGTAGTGTAGAAAGGACAAAAGTGCAATAGACTCGCTGGCAGTGCAAGCACCCACAGGAACTACAGGAAGCCAAAAACACAATGCCACGAGTCTCTGAGTGCACCTGAAGACTGAGTGTGCAACACATGCATACAAATATATTTCCTTACCGATAGCAACCGCCTTCAAATCAAGGCAATGCTCATATTAACCACACTCTCTCACTCACGCACAGTGTTAGCCTTGTCAATGCCTTCACAAATACATTTAAAAATTTATACACATTTGTGTGTTTTACAGTAACTTATAAAAGTCAACGTATTTGTACACTGTCGGCAGTCAAGCAAGGTTGCAACTTCTGCAAATATTTATATTTTTTTCCTTTAAACAAAAAAAATAAATAAATGAAAACAACAACACCATTGCTATAGACAATCGAAAAAGTGCATTGTTTGCATTAAACATTTTACAACAATTGCTGTTGTTATTACTTTTGTTTTTGCACTTTTTCATTCGCCAATAAACCTGAAGCCATAACGGAGCACACGAGAGCGATTCACTTGCACTTTTATATGCCGATTGAAGCATTTGAAGTGATTGTTTTGCTACCGTTACCTCTTGACTCAGCCTTTCACTCGCAGCCAACTTTGCGAAGTTCTTTTCATGTGTCTCCCCTTACTTTGGGTAAGCACCTTCAGCTACAATGATAGCTGGCATTATTTTTAGTATCCTTTGAAAAGCTTCGCATGCTTGAAAATGAAAATAAGTAGTATAATTTAATATCAATTTACAATCTCCGTAAGATGAAAATGCGGGAGAACAAAAATTTAAGATTGAAGCAGGAAGGATTTTGATTTTGCGGATTTTTAGAAGTACATAGATATATTTCACGGATTTTTGACTTTTTTGGGCATTTACCTACATTTACTTAGACAAAAATCATAATTATATTTAAGTCCTATAAACAAAACTTCAGATTTTATTTGCCGTTATGTTTCATTTAATTGATACTAGGATAAAGTCGTATAGTCTCAAAGCCTATCATTTCTTAATGTCACAAGTCGGTGTAGATTCGGAGTATTAAGGGAAGCCATCGCATCTTTCCTTTCCATTACAGAGATGATCAGTGTATACATAGCTACATATACAAGTATATAATGTCATTTTGTTCAGACTTGATGAGAATAAAGTCAGCCATACTATGTCTAAGTAGAAAATATTTCAATGCTTTTGAAATCGCATTGCCTGGAAAAGAGGCTAAGTTCCTCAAACTAGTTATTTCGGAAAAGTGGCTTTGTAATTACGATTTCCAGTGCGCTTGCGGAGGTAACCGATTGATGTGTTACTTGCAATTACCTGCAGCAATTTTCTTAAGGGTATTTCAACTAAATACTATTTACTAAGTATTTTTAAAGCATTTTTGCTACGTCTAACCTAGTTCGCTAAAAAATCTTAAACATGTTGTTTTTCTTCTTATGTTTCTAACTGATTTAAATGATAAAAATCATCTGTTTAAGTAGCCCACCTCAGCAAAAGTTTCAAGTTACTGACCCCTTGCAGTCTTGTAGAGTGTTGTAAACATTTTTATTTCGGTAATTTTACTCTTTTCTAGCTGACTTTGCTCTGCTTAGCGCTTTTTGAACAAGCGTATATTAAAATTTGCATTTATTTACTATTATTTCGTTTGCTCTTCAACATTTATGATTTTTGCAATTTTTTTAAGAATTTCTGCAATACTTCTTGCATTGTAAAACAGACACTTGTTTGCACAAAACAATGCTACCGTCTTTTACAGTCAACCATAGCATGCTGCAACAACAACTTTTTACGCAAGTGGGAACCATGTTGCACATGCCTCAAGTCCATTTACTTTTACTGCAATTTGAGCTTTGGGTTTTTCTTGTAATGAGCTCAGTAAAAAGTTTTTTACAACTTATTTGCTTATGTGTGTTTATACAGTGGAGTCCTTGTTATTTAGTTAGTGATTTCTTTGTATTTCTACTTGTATATGTTATTGTTTTTTTTTCATTTCCGTTTATTATGATTTTTTTGCATGCTGCAATTCGACTATTTCATTTTAATGCACTCCGCAACAATTCTGCTCAGTTTTAGTCTTTATTATGTTTGTTTACCAAATTGACTTAAGTTTTGCAGAAAATTAACTCTTTTTTCGCTTGTTTTGAAATTTATTGTAGTTCTTTTTGTTATCATTTATTTTTTGACCAAAAATTTGCTTGACTTAGTGACAACAAATAGCAAAGTACGATGGAACTCTTGAGTTTCCTGTATGAAATACGAGCTTTAGACAAGCACTTATAGTACTATTTTAGTTCCGGTTTAAAAAATCCGATTTAAGTGGTTAAGATCTCATAAAAATGGTTCAATATAAATAATTTTTGAAGTTATATAATTTTTTGAACATTTTACAGATAAACGGACCCGGTTTAGAGGTATGAAATTATCTAAAGTCATTTTTTTGGTTGAGTAAAGAGAAGAGTACAAAGTAAAGAGCTGATTAAAAGTTTTCAGTCGCTCTTAGAGGCCTTATCAATTTATTCAATTTATCAGGAGAGTTACTGACCTTTACTCCTGTACTATCATAAGTTACCTCACTTATATTTGGGTTTAAACTTTAATTGTTTCAAAAAGAGACTAATAGACTTGTTAGCCGAATATATTAGTAGTACTGATTTTACTACCTGTAACTTTTAGAGCAGTATGACTTCAAATTTCTATAAACTCCAAACCTATTACCATTTTGCAAACACACCTTTCATATTTCATGCAAATAGTATACCTAATCAATCTCGCAAAAGCTGACTTCATACTTCAACTCCCATCTAATTTTTAGTAATTTGAAAAGTTAATCTTCATGCAACCACTCATCTCCGTCATATTCCCACACACAACCTAACCTAACAATCACACACGAGTAGTGCCGCAATACATACGAGTATGTGTTATTTAAATGTGACCCAACTGCCAATAATCACTGTAATCCTATACTCATACTACACCGCAAATATTTGCAAGTAATATGGCAACGCTGCGTTATTAGTGAATTATGTGGCAAATGCTTCGTTATTAATTAGACTCATTTGTGTGCCAAGTGAACGAACAAAAACCAACAAAACGGACATAGCGCGAGTACGCCGGGAGACAGTCGGTCCGGACTGCATGGGGAGTCGTACAACTGTACCGTAGCATGGCTGACTGAATTTGCATTGTGGCAGACTTACGCAACTCATGAGTCAACTGTTGTGAAAGCAGATGAGCCCATCACATCAGTGGGAAATTAGTATGAGGGTTGTTAGGGAGGTTATGGCGCTGTGTATTCTTTATAACGCTTGTAGTTAGCATTATTGTTTGTTGTTATTATGCTAGCTACTGATGGTTACTCCTGCCGCTGTTGTTAAGTCACCTTAATTAAATGTCAGTGTGGCTCGTTAAACTTTTTAGCCACTCAAACCATTGGAGGCAAGGAAAACGACTTCAGCTAGAAATTTGGGGTTATGGTGCTAATAGAGTCGAGGCTTCTTTTTGTATCTAATAACAAATCTCAGTTGCTGTAACCGGTTTTTTCGTTATTTTTTGCAAACAAAACACACAAGGGACTTGCGTTAATAATTTTAATAAATCAATTTGTTAATTGAGATATTCAACGAGTTGGGTAATTAGTTCAAAAATATAGCCAGCTGGGGGAGAGATTAAAGTAATAGTGGACGGCTTAACAGAGCAAGTTATTTTGCATGTGCGAGAAGTTAATATTTAGACAAGTTTCAGGTAAAGAAATTACACTTCGTATTCGAATTAATATATATTTTTATTATGCTTCTCTGGATTAAAATTTATTGAAGACGCAAAATGAAAGTTTCCAAGCTTAGCAGGACATCGCACTAACACAAGCTAAGCGTAGAGCTCTAAAAGCTCTTAACTACATTCGGTGGACTTACATTACCTTCCCAAAGGTCGAAAATCGAGTCCATTACACTATTGTAGATTGAGCGTCAATTCTAAGATGAACAAAAACAAAATACAAAAAAGAAGAAACAAAGAGAGCACATTTGTCTGAAATCTGCTCCAATACACATCACAATTTGAATGAAATAAAGGTTTATATCAAGAGATTAATTCTAAAATATAAATTTCTTTGTAGTGAAGCCTCGTTAAGTTGGTGAAGAGAGAGAATCTTTAAACATGCCTAGGTCTTTCGGCAATGAGGGTAGTGGATCCTTAAATGTCGAATTTTATGGAGAATTAACTTCGCGACTGAAGCGAAGACCTTTGAAAATCGCACAAATGCTCCCAACGAAAGAAATTCTTTACAACCGGAAATTATAGAAAGTTATTAGCCATCCCAAGCAAATTGAAACTCATTTACTGGTGAAGCAATAAACTTCATATATTTAATTTTCTTTGAAGTGTAAGCCAATAATCTCACACACTGCCCAGTGTCTTTGTTCAATTATCTTAATATTTGCTACAATACACAATAACAACAATTACCATAGCAAACACCTATCAATTATGCACCAAAGCTGCTTTTAATATGGTTGTAAAATGAATATTTGGCACAATAAAATTTAGACAATACACCAGAGTACACGAAGGAGCTTTGCGATAAAGTGCATACCTACAACTACTAAGCGTCGTTTGGCTATTAAATGGACCTCAGCACACTGCTTGAACCCACATATTGTGCGCCATAATCGAATTTAGAGCGACAAAGCGCAGGTGGTTCGAGTTGCAGCAAAGGCAGCACCAGCAGACACTGAATTGGCCACATGTTCACTTCATTTGATGGCTTGATAGCCTGATAGCTGTTGCATTGGCGTAACCGATGTGTAACTATTATACCTTTGGCGGTATTATCTGCCAGAAAGGTAAGTAACTTGAAATTGCTATGTTGGTATATGTTTGCATGTTAACTGTAGACGAGCTTTCATGCTGAACGTGCATATAAATTTTCATGTCCTGCAGCTAAACTATACAATTTTATTACTTCAATTCACAATTTTTGGCACTTTCAACGCCAACACAATAAAAATAGATGCAACAACAGAGGAGAGCAGGAAACACTCGCTTCTAGCTTTAATCCTTTGTGAATGCAGGTGAAAGCCTTACAGCTGCAAGGGGACATCACTGGCTGCTGGTCCACCACCCATGCTGCTTGCCCATGTGCTTTGCTAAACTTCGGGTCGTAATTTATGGTTCGTTAGGTCAAATGTCTGCGCCACAGCGCCACAGCTTACCTTTGCTAGGACTCACGCTTGTGTTTGGATGAGTGGTGAACTTGTAAACAGCGAAACGCACAATCGCCCCAAAGGCGCTCGGTTGGCTTGCCGAACTGCAGAGCGTTACAGAAAGTCTAAAGCAACACCATATACCATCATCCATGTATTTTACAACCGCTTCACTTGGAGCATTTCTTAAGTGCTTGTCATGCCTCCCAAGTGTCCTGTATGCTCTCGCCATAAGTGTATGTTTCCTATTTTGCTAGTGTTGTCCATGCAATTCGCTCCATTATTCAGCCATTCATGTACGTTGTAACTGCCAATAAAATGCCAACATGCAAAAATGAATAGTTTGGTCAGCGTAATAAAATTTGAATTGGCAAAGACGAGCGCAAAGGATGTAGCTGGTTTTATAGCTTGCAGCTTTTGACTAGAACTTAAATATTTTAAAATCGAATTCATCACAGTCATCGTAAAATTCTGTGTATGTGTGCAGCAACTGATGTATTCCTTACAATTTACTTGACAAATGCAAGTTCGAAGATGTACGATAGTAACTTGAAGGCTGCGCTGGAATAAGAACTTAAAGGATGTACTCGTAAGTATAAAGACTGAGATGCATAAGTGTTTGTTATTTGGTAACAGTGTGTTTGGGGGAAAATTAGTTATATGTGCCTGTGCTTAGATTGATCTTATTCAAAACTCGATTACCAATATTCGCACAGTGGGATCGTAAGGTTACATTACTGGACAAAGTTTAAATTGGCATATAATATAAAAAAATAATGATTGGTCAAACTAAGTTAAAGAACTCAAGGAAACCCAGGAAAGATGGGTATATGAAGAGGTCCAAACAGAAAGGGTCTAAAATTCTCAGCTTCTTCAACTGTATTCCTAAAAACTTGCTCCACTTCGTCGCAGAACCTACTCCTGGTGGCATTTTCAATGCTTTTATACCAACAAGTGATATATGAGCGATATGAGGAATGGTCGAACTTCGAAGAGAAGATTGTAGGCGGATTTTTTTAAGAAAGATCTCCGTTTTAGACTACCGGATCACAGTAGTATTTTCATGTGAAATCAAAGTTAGTCAAGGCATGTCTGACCTCACTAACACCAACCTAATTCATTGTCAGACTAGTTTGGTTTGGTTGCCAAAACATAGCAGAAGGATGAAGTTGGATTTCCGCTGTCCTCTTACGTTCCAGCACTGGACATTATTTAACCTAGCTAACCTCTTGATCGAATAGATTCTCGTATCTGCTCCGGTTACTTAGAATTTATCCAGTTTAGTTAAACAATAAACCACTGTGTATCATCAAAATACAAGCTATAAAAGCTTAGTTGGCTTGCAATGGAAACTCTGCTCATTCACCCTTTAGTTGTATAATTTCTTTTGGATTTCTAGAATAGAAGCAAATATACAAACTTGAACCAAAGGATGCTTGATGTATGGCAACTTTAACCACAAATAAACAGTGTGGCAAACAAATCACATCTAAACCACATATATACAATACATACACACATACATATAAAACAATTTGAAATGAATATGAATAGCAAATAATAATAAAAGCAAGATATTGAAATTGAGGACTGTGACTTTTGAGAAGCATAAAAATAAATGCTTAAATCGATATAAAATTTGTGTGGAATCCAAATTTTACTTGTGATGAAGAATTTACGAAGGGTCAGTTTATGGATTAAGAAACGCGGTGATGGAGATAGAGATGAAGATGAAGAAAAAGCAAAGACAAACCTGAGAGTTCGGACAACTTAAAATAAGGGCATAATTTGCATATATGGTTGAGTTAGCAAAGTTGGAAGGATAGAGTAACTGTAAAAAGAAGCGGAGCTTTCGGTGTCAACGTACCGAAACGTATTAAATTAAAATGGTAGGCAGAGAGTGTTAGGCAGAGAAGTTCAAAGTATAATTAGAAGTTGTGCTTAGTACGTTGTTGATGTGGACATTGGTCAAGTCTACATTTATTTATCATAGAAAGGCGAGAGTATTAAAAGATTAAATAAATGCTTACAATTTTGCTAACTGCAAAATAATGGCATAGCTGAGTTCCCCAAGGTTCAGAGTTGACCCAACTTCTCACTAAAGCACAGATTCACCCTTTATTGTAGCTTTACAAATGATTCCAAAACTTAATCAGGACGAAGATGCTGGAAATTTTGAATTGAATGTGTAGAAAACATCTCTCACGCTCTCTTATTTCCTTATGGAAGTATACACTACTTTTAAGATCAATGGCTAGGTAGCAATTAACATAAACTTGAAGAACATACTATGCTCTGTTATGTATATCTAGTATGTTAGGATGCTCCTGGTATGGTGAGGCTTTTGCTTTTGTTTATGACTGACTGTGAACAGGCTTTCGTTAACTTCTAATTTATAATTTATTATTTTTCTTGCATCTTCAGAACTCAAAAAAGATCTCTTTCATAGATGACTGAGAACTGAAAATAATTTTTTCCCCATTTTTAACTGTTGAATCTTCAAATATCATGTTGGATTGGTGGCTGGTATATTTATGATAATAAAAACCCAGTAATGATAGGCAGAGCTTGAAATTCTATATGTCTTTCCTGAAGAAAATGAGATAATGTATTGCTTTCTGTGTATCTTCTAAAATATTACTTTGTGAGCCGCACATCAGGGCAATTGAACTACAGAATTTTACTATTAACAGAAACAGAACAGAACAGAATCGAACTCAAGTCCAACTGAACATATAGACATACCTATTCCTTACAATTCCTTTTACGAAAAATTAAATTGTGAAACAGAAATACGTACCGAAATTTATAAGAGCACACAAGTACAAAATTTCATCGTCATATCATTTTTAAAGTTCAACAATCAGTGAATACCACGTGAAAGATATCAATAGTAGGACTCTTCTGGTAATAATAATCATATATCGAACAGTATACGGCGAACTTAAAAGTCAGAGATAGCGCTATACAATTTTTGTGGCTTTTCCACCAATTTTATTATTGCTTAAGAAATGCTACATATTTTGCTAAGAAATCGCTTCGATTTCATGAAAAACTTTTGGAAATGCTACTGTTTTTGGTAAATACACACAACTTTTTAAGGCAACATAACAAAAAAAGTCTGATGCTATTGAACTCGTGGAACTCCTTTAAAATACGGCCTACACAAAACAAAAATTGTATTGTAGTTACAATATCCATTTCCCTTCTGTTGGCGGCTTGAAATTTCCTACAAACGTTTGATATTCAAGAACTCTGATTTGTCTGCATTATTTATTAATGCGTTATTGTTGTGCTTGATGACTTTTCAAAACGTTTTATTATCACAAACTAATAAAATGCATAGCTTTTCAAATTTGCTTAAATAGCATCCCTTATCTGCATCTATTATGCTGCTGCTGCTGTGTTGTACTTCTACACTTCACCCCCAAAGCGCACAACACACCTTAAATGCCAGAGTTCGCATCGCCCTTCCTTCGGCTGTCATAAAAAGCAACACTGTCGTGGAATTTTTATGATCACTTGGCGTACTTTTAATTTAAATTGCACAAGCAGCCAGCACACAATGTATGAAAATATAAATAAAGTGAAAAATTAAATGCGAAATCCATTTTAGATTAATTTTTTTCTTTTTATTCTCGTCGCTGTGCAATTTTCTCTTTCAACAATTTTCTTTTTTACAACTTTCTTTTTACAATTGCCATTTATCTTTTCTACAATTGGACTTTTATATTTTTGTTGTGAACATTGCACTGGAAAATGGTATAAAAGAATTTAATAAAAAAATCACATAACAAAATTTATGTTGCAAGCACGCTTGTTGCAGACATTTAGCACCGCTCTCGTGTGAGATGCGCTCAAAGCGGCTATTTAAAGTAACGATTGCACATTAAAATTATATATTTTACAATTTTTATCGCATATTATAGCATTAGATATGGTATATTGTTGCATGCAATAAACTAGGTAAAAAGTTGTTCAATATAACCGCCGTTATGTTGCAAATAAAATCGTAAATGTTGTAAAAAATCGATTTTCGCAAAACACGAAAATTTTACAGTTAATATAATATATATTGAATTGGCAGCAATTGCTGGATGCTTTTTAATAGGCCAAGCAGATATAACATAACGGTTACAAATTACTTTTTTTTAGTAGGAGACAACTTGAAGCAACTTTTACTGTTTTTATTTTTAACCTAGTAGAAGACTAATATCCTAGGTAATTTAAAAACATTAAAATAGAAACAATTCATATTTTTATACGCTGAACAGGGTATATTAAGTTGGAGACGATGTTGGCATTAGCCAAAAAGGGAACGTCGAAGACCCTCTAAAGTATATACATACAAGTATATACAAATGAGCAGCTGTCTGTATATACCCGAACAAGTCCCTCAAATTTTGATATATCGATCGGAAA